GGTAATGGAAAGGCAGGTGACCGTGCGGGATGGCAGCACCCGCGCTGGCTGCTGTCAAAACCAGCCCGCGTTTTTAATATCTCCAGTGTTTCTTGCAGCTACTGTTGATTTTATTTTAATGGTGCTTCATTTACGTTCTGGCTGCTGCCCAGGGTAAAAAAAATAAATAAAAATAAATAAAGCCTCAAACAACAAGAAAAAAGAGGCAGTTGGGGCTCCAGCTTGCTTTGTTAAAAACTGTTGTTTTCATTCTGCAAACTGTACTGCTAATAGAGCAACAAACCATTCTGCTTGATAAATTAATTCTATTTATCATGGATCCCATCATCATTAGAGTATTTTCTCACCTTGATCATTCTGTTCTAGAAAACTTAACGCATGACTACGGGGTTCAGAAAGAACCCCATCATGCTAATCAGGCTGAACCAGACAAGCCTTTCTTCTCTGCAGATGGCACTTCTACCTATCACTTCCTTAAGAACTCCATTATTTCAAGTCTCTGCACTCTGCATATGAACGATACTGCTCTTGACATGTGGGGAGGGACTTCAAATAGAAATTAGGTCCTTCCCTCTTCCTACAGATGCTCCAGCTTTTTCCTGCCATGGAACTTCCTCTATTGCAATTTCCTCTGTTGCCTCCCCAATTAGCCTCTGAAAGAACCAACCAGGGCACTAAGTAAATTAGAATCCCTGAAAAAACACAATTAAGTGAATGGGAGCTGGGACGGGAGTGTGTGCTTGTTTGGGGGCAGGATGTTTGCTGGAGATATTTTTTTGCCGCATGAGAAAAACAAAACTGATCTTTAACAAGTGCATGTAACTGCATGGCAGTTTGTACCACCAGGGATCAGAGTAAAAGTCTTTAAGAGTGGAGAACTATTTAACACCAGTGTTGGGAAGTGCTCACAGTTATGCAAGAAGCCATGTTCATTTCTATAGAGGAGAGAGATGGCTCCATTCTCATCTTTTCACCCTTCATCATCTGCTCTTCTCATCTGGAAAAAGCCTATAGAGATACAGAGTCCTTTTACACTGATGTTTTAATTGTTGCTAAGATATGTTTTTCCTAAGTCTAAGACTTTTTAGTCTCCTATGTTCTGCAGGTGCAAAAGAGGCACAAACCAGAACTTAAGGAAGCTACAACTGTTACCAGAAGCTGCAACTCAACAAGAGCTGTTACCTGCCTGGAGACTCAGAAATAATCCAATAAAGTGTTAGAAGAACCCAGACCAAAAATCACCGTTGGACTAAAAAGGTGTGTGAAGAACAAGTGCATGAGGGACAGACACATAGATTATAAAGTTGTAATTGTCCAGGAATTTTTTATTCATAGTACTTCCCTGGAGGCTCCCAGTTTGAGCTCTTTTTTTTCTGGCTGCAAAATCTGAATAAATTTTATTTTTAAATGTAAGATTAATGTCTGAGACTCCGCTCCAGGAAACCTAGGATCAAGCCTGGAGGAGGAAGAATTGCACCCGAGATTGAGTGAGTGAGTGAGAGTGGAGTTGAAAAGGGCACTCATCTGCTCACTGGAGTTGCCCGCTCCAAATAGACTCCAGTTCTAGCAGTTGAAGTATTGGGTGGTGTGTGTTAGACTGCTTGAGTGGTGTGTGAATAAATGCTTGGGCAGCTACTTCTCCTTTGACACTACATATTATTATTACTGTTATTATTATTATTATTACTATTTAGAGGCCAAAACTGTGCACAGTACTCAAGACACAGTTATTTAAGACAATACTTCAATGGTACAAAGATACAATATTCTCTGTTTTGTTCTCTGTTGGTCTTTTCGTGACCCTTGACTTTTTTACTATTATTATTATTTTGGTACTTCTGACCATTGAAAAATCTGTTTAGTTTAGTTATTTATTTATAGTTTTCTATTGTGGGAGGATTTTTTCTATTAGGATCAATCTGGAGCAGTGCAGTAAAGGTGGAAGATGGTGGTGTGACAGCTTTGAAGATTGAGTCAGGGATCAGGGGCAGGAGGACAGTCAGTAACACTGAAAACTGGTCCAAAAAAAAGTGAATACATGAGAAGGCTGAAGTTTATTTTCATTTAATGACACCCAAAATGCCTAAAGCTTGGAGTCCAAGATGCACATGTTGTAGAGCTCATGACAAAACACTGCTGCAGGTCAGGCAAATGGAGAATTTGTTGATCAGCAAAGGGATGGTTTGATTTGCCATCACCCGTTATGATCCAGAAGTCCAAGTCCACATGTCTCTACAGGCTGTGAAGTTCCTATTAGCTGCTAGTCCTAGGCTTTTCCTGTGTATGTACAGGCTGCTAAATGCTGAGGGACCCTGCAGCCTCATCAGAGCAGCCCTAATGTTTTTTTGTTCATCTAGATATGTTTGTGTGCATGAAGGCACAAATAACAAGCTGGAGGTGTAAATGGACAGTATAACACAGAGCAGCAGCATTGTAGGATAATAAAGGTTGGACCAGATGATCCTTGAGACCCCTTCCAACCTGGCATTCTGGGATTCTTTGATTCTATTAATCATTATCAGGATAATTCTAACCAGACTAATATTTAACTACTTTATATTGAGAAACAGAGGAGGGAGGGGGGAATGTTATTAACTTGTACAGGACTTCATGCCTTTCTCTTATGTGCTTTTTTGTTTGTTTGGTTTTGTTACCAGTCTGAGCTATTCCTTGTCCCTCTCTACAAGTTTGGGGATAACCAGGAAGGGCTGCTGAGGGTCCATAAACACACTAGTGTATTAAAAGCTAACACTTTTAAGATCAGTAATTAATAAGTACACATATGATTTTACTGACATTTACAAAGGTCTGTCAGAGATGTTCCCCGCTGTTTCTGGGCTAAGAGCTGCCATGATCCCCTCTACATGAGGATTTCCAGCTTCCACCTGGAGGAAAGTGACTTTGAATGCACCAGTGGGGGCCTTCAGCACACAGCTGCAAGTGGGGTCTGGACACCCCAGCAGAAATCCTACTGTGCCCTGGGGCAGACAGACCTGTGTGGAGCAGTCAGTCCAGGAGCCAGGTCCACCAGGTTAGTCCAAGAGAATGAGAACGGAAACTAGGGTTGAGCTGACCCAACGTCAGGCAGCCCAGCAGCAATTTAGGGGCATATTGAGTTATCAGGTGAAAAATGTGGGATTCTCCACCAGTCAGGCCTATGGGCCTGTCTTCAGTTCCCTTACAAATGGTCTGTGTGGAGGTGTAGGCTGAGGGTCTGGGCAGAGATTGATAGACTGGGGTCTCCATATGAGTAGGACAGGGAGAACATTAATTTTGCTTGTGCTGTAGTTATCAAAGTGGTGATGAAACCTACAATAATTTATTCATTTCCATTGAATTTGACAACTTCTGTAGTGTTTTCATCATGCTGATTGTTACCATAGGCAAAAAACCATCTCCATCCTTACCTGGACTTCTACATTTCCTGTTGTTATGCTCTGGGAACACTTACATTTCCCTGAGAATGTGATGCAATTTTATTTCCCTCCCTCACAATTTTTTCTCATAAGTAAATTAGTACATTTATCACAAGCTTATGCTTTGGAAGATGAAGCAAATCTGTATCTCCAAACTGTAACTTTTCTATCACCATACCTTTGGCTGGTTTAAAAATCACACCACAGAGGCTTTCTAAGTTGGTATTAATTCTCCTGAAAATACTGCTGGCAGATCTACTGAGAGATCAGCAGCTCCTTTATATAAAAAAACTAAACACTCTTCCTTAAAATCTAAAAGCAGATCACTGAGGAGAAGGCAAATTTCAAAATTCACATTACTGAACAGTCATTCCAGGAAAAGGTACAGAACTTAACCATCAACAGGAGACACTGAGAACGGAGCATGTAGAGCTATCAGAAATATATTGATGACATGGCACAGCTGTCTAGTAATTGTGATTACTTTGGAAAATTCATAAAGTGCAAGATGCACCTCAGAGTCACATTTGAGAGATCTGGTGTTAAGGTTACAAGTAGCTACTGCAGATCTTTGACGTGTTGAGATCAACATATTGAACATAAGTGTATTCTATACTGCGCACTTTGCTAATTATTTCTGCAAGTTTTCAAGCTTCACAAATTGTTATTTTTTTCTGCCGCTGCACAGAGCAAGAGCTTCTAAGTCCTTAGAGAAACAGTGAATATATGGGTTAGGTTCCTACAGCATAATGTATCTCTACTGAAAAGACCATAAGATGAAAGGGGAGCAGAAAGGGAGGAGAGCAAATTGATATACATTTTCTGAAATAAATGACATTCGGAAACTGGACATTTCTGAAAACTGTTTAGGTGAAGCAACTACTCAAATGCCTTTACTCTGAGGGCAGATGCAGAGCAGTTTATAGATGTGTCCAGAACTGTATGAAACAGAAATCAGGAAAGAAAAAGATAACAGGTATCAACAAAGAATAAGAACATAACACCGAGCAGATGTCACGCTTTTTCAAAAGCACCTGGAGCCATCAAGGCTTTTTCCACGAGTACGTGACCGAGGCACACGAAGTCACTTCAGCAACACCGCACCTTGTCAACACCCGTCGGAACAACAACGCATAAAACCGGATTAACGCTCTTACTCCGCAATCGTTGAAAACCCGCGGATTCACAAAGAAACCCCCCTGCCCCCCCCCCATAATTTCAAC